GAGGCGAGAGGAGGTCGATACAGCCGACAGCAAGGACACCGCAAGCTTAGCAAGTCCTCAGAGCGGAGCGAGGGTCGTGGAGGAGGAGAGGAGCGACTCGCGACGATGGTTGAACCTAACACGCACTCCACTCTCGCTCGGACAGCTGCTAGAAGACGTTGAGCTCTTCTTTAGACTGCTCTTGATGCTACCCTGGCCTCTAGCAGACCGCTACCGCCGTCGCTCGCCTGTTCCCCAAGCTCTCGCTGAACCCGACAGAGTAAACGGACGAGACACGGTTTTCGCCTACTCGAGGAGCGCCTGAAACTTTCCAGCACCCTGCCAGACCGACCGGCAAGGTCGTCCACTTCGAGAAGCAGCAGGAGATGGACGAGGGCGACCTCGAGAAGTGGGCAGCGCCTTTCGGGCACACGAGAGTGCGAGGAGCGTTCGTGCTAAAGCGCTCGAATGAACTTGCATGCCCTTGACTGAGCTCTCTCAGGAACGCGATTCGAAGAAGTGGAAAGTGGAAGGATGCGAACGGGCTGCGCAGGTTTGCAAAGCGACCTCGAGCGGATGCTACAGCGGAGAGGCGTAAGCTGCGAGCGTGAGTGAGAGCGGTCAGCTTGTGAGCATCAGCGAGATCTAGCCAGTCCGCTCGAGACGCCGCCGACCGAAAGGAGAGGAGCGATGCTTCGCGCAAACTTGTCCCACAAGCGCGCTCCGCGCGATGTTCAGAGTGAGAGGAGGACTCACAGTACAACAAACATCACCAGCACCCGTCAACTAGACCACACCTTCGCCGAGCCGTTCCTTCGGAGCCTGGGTTAGCGGACGGAAGGAGCGCAACGCAGAGTCAGCTCACGCACGATGAAGCGATAGCCAAGGGCACGCGAGACGCACCTCCTCCTTCTGTGGCACCTCGTCCACAAAGTCCGGCAGCTCGCTCGTCGCATCCGCCTGGAGGTAAGACGGGATCCCCTCCTCCTCCTCGAACTCGTTCCCGAGCGCCTCAAGTTCTGCGAGAGAGAGCAAGGCATCAGCGAAGGATCCTAAACTATGAAGAGAAAGCCGCGCGAACGCACCCGCCTCGAGATCCGCCTCGTCCACCTCTTCCGGTACGCCATACGTCCGCGACATCGCTTCCTGCACGTCGTTCGCGGAGTCGAGCAGGTCCGCCATGTCGTCGTGCATTGCCTGCGCGAAAGTGAGCGTCAGCGAGCGACATGAAAGCGGGACAGACCCGGCTACGCACTTCAATCTTGTCAATGTCGATCTTCCCGTACTGCTTCTTCATCTCCTTGTTGGCGGTCTTCATCGCGTCGACCGTCGCCATTGTATTGCGCAGGTTCTCGGTCGTCATGCTCGCCTGCTCCATGTTGAAGCTCTGCTGCTGGAGCTGCGCGATCTGCGACTCGTACAGTTTTTTCTGCTTGAGAACGCGAAGGGCGCGCTGCTGGACGGCGTTCTGCGAGCGGATAGGAGCGAAGAGTTAGCACGAGCGCTGTGCGGGAGCTCAAGCAACCACGTTCGTGCCGGAAGCGGTTGAACAAGGGAGACCGCAAGCTGAACGCCCCGACACGCACCTTCCCTGGCCCGTCCCGCATCTTCTTCATCTGGTCGCGGTACTTGGTGAGCTCTGCATCGAGCTTGCGGATCTTGACCTCGATCGAGTCAACGCGGAGGTCGGTTGAAGCAATCGCATCGGCGAGAGAGGGTTTCGGCTTCGAGGAGGACGAGCCGAAGAGGCGATTCATGGCAGGAGGCGAATAAACGTCGAAGCAAAGGGTTCGAGGGAGTGTGTGTGAGTAAGAAAGGGTAGGCTGCGGCGGAAAGTGCAAGGAGCGTCAGTCCAGCGATTCGAGCGAGATGCTGTCCAACAGTCCTCGCGTGGCGGGCCCTCGCCAACCTTGCACGCAGAGCAGTAACCTTTCGTACCGTTTCGTCCTCCTAGCGAAGTCTGTATACCGCCAGACGCCGCACACGCTCGCCCAACTGGCCGCTGCTGCGACCCGGCCCTCCTCCACACCTCGAGCATAAAGGGCTTGCACGGACTCACAGGTAGGTCTCGAGATAATTCGCGACGGATTCGGACGTGTCGGCAATCGCAGCGAGGCGTTGTCGCGACGTGCGAAGACTCCGAGTCGAGGTGGGGAAGGAAGAGACGGGTGAAAGGCGAGTGTCCGGGCGCGAGGGGTAGGAGGCAGTCGCTGAGTCTTCGGGATCCAATGTGAAGCGGCGTGAGCACAGGTCAGCGAGGTGAGCGAGATGGGCAGAAGCAGAAGGGAGAGAAACAACTCGAAAGCAAGGTGAGCGCGATCTACCGCTTCGCAGAGCCCGTACAGGACGACATCGGTGAAGAAGAGACGCGGGAGAGCGTCGGCGGAGCACAGCGAACCACAAGGAAGCCTCTCGCCCCCTCACCTCCTCGTCCCAAACTCGAAGGCGACAACAACAGTCTCGGGGTTGCAAAGATGCGAGATGCGATGCGATGAGATAGATGCGAGGGTGCAGGAGGATCCGTCAAGCCATCACGAGTTCCTCGGCAAAGAGCGCGAGATCAATGACCCGCAACTCGCCCCTCCTCCGTCCGTCACTCGTCGTCCGCTTCATCTGCTCGGCCGTCCAGTGCGAGCTGATACCGTGCGTGAACGCGGCGATCTCGACGTCCCAGCCGCGGTCGAGAGCGCGGCGGACGCAGCCGAGGAAGCCGCCAGGGTTATACTCGGACGAGTTGGCGTCGCCGGTAACGATGACGAGGACGGGGCGTTCACGAGGCGGGCGACGCGGGACGAACTGGACGACGGCAGGCGGTTTCGGCTGGGTGGGGACGATCTTGGCGGTAGCGGGGACAATCTTGGGCGGAGCAGGCGTGATCTTTGGTTGAGCGGGCGTGATCTTGGGCTGAGCGGGAATGAACTTGGGCTGCGAGGACGTGGCGGTCGAGGCAGGCGTGTTGGCCGGCTGGGCTGAGCCGGTGAGGTAGGCGGAAGAAGGGAGGAAGCGAGGTTTGGCGGGGACAGTCGCGGCGGACATAGAGATGTTCGGCGCCAGGGCCGGTGGTGGGGCAGGTGGCGGTGCGGTGGCGAAGAGGACAGACGGCGAGCCGAGCGACGGCGCTGGCGCTGCGCTGGTCGAGGCCGTTGAAGCTGACTCGTCGTCGGGAGCAACGCGGTCGGACACCTGCGTCTCTGACATCGAGGTGTCGCCATCCTCCTGCGCATCCGCCGTGCGCTGCAGCGCGGCGGCGATGTCCGCCTCGCCAGGCCTCGCAGACGCTTCCGCAGACGCTTCATCCGCGGATCCCGCCGGCTGGACGAGCGGCGTTGAGTCGACCGCATTGGCCGTTTCGTTGAGGGGCTCGCCGGTCGCGCGCTCGGCGGAAACGGTTGCGCCAAACTCGGTGCATGTAGAATCTGCGGACGTGACTTCGGCGACTGACGGAGGCGCCTCGACAACCGGAGTCGTAACGGGCAGCTGGGGCGGGTCGACGGCCATCGCTTCAGGCGCAGCGGTGGGCTCGGATGCATCTGCTACAGGAGCGACGAGGGGCTCGGGCGCAGCTGGCGCAGGTGCGAAGACGGCGGGAGCTGGCGTAGGTGACGGAGGCGGCATCGGCGGAGGCTCAAAGTCGAGGAGCGACTCGAGGATCTTGAGATGGACAAGCTCGTCGACGGCCTGCGGAGGAGTATGTGTCAGCACGACTCTTTGGGCGAGCAGACTCGGGCGGCCCACCTGCTCCTTGTAGTGCTTGGTCTGCGAAGCCTCGGGCTGGGGAGGCGGCGGAGGAGGAGGCGCCTTCTTGTTGCCCTGCTTCCGCTTCTTGCCGCCCTGCTGCTGCTGCGTGGCTTGCGCGGCGGCCGCGACGGTGTGCGAGGCCGAGGTCGAGGGCTCGGCTCGCGGGACGCGCTGGAGAAGCGAGATCTCGTAGCCCTGCGAGCAAGAGCGTCAGCGACATGTGCATCGAGATTTTGAGTCGCCCGACTCACCCACTCGACGGCAGGCTCGAGACTCTGCCACAGCGTCGAACTTCCGACGAGGACCCTCCGCTCGACCCGCCTCCCACGCTCGAGCAGCGCAAACAACATCTTATAGTCGAGCTTGACCTTTTTGCCGGCGATCGTGACTGTCTTGAGCGTCTTGGCCGGCTGTGGCTTGCCGTCCTTGCCCTTCTGCGCGCCGACCTTCGTGCTCGTGATCTTGGCTTCCGGCCGCGCTCGCACCCAGTTGAGGAACGAGTAGAGGACGTTCGAGTTGTCGATGAACACCTCGACGCGCGGGCGGTCGTCGTCGACGTCCTCGAGCGGCTCGGGCGGAGCGGGAAAGATCGCCTTCTTGAGCGCCTCCTTGCGGTTCGGCGGGCCTGGCCAGAAGCCATGCTGTGCCGCCTCGTTCGGCGGCGGGAGATTCTTGGCGGGGAGGACGGTGTGGTGCGGGACGTCGAAGATGGCGCTGTCCGACGCCGACTCGAGGGTCGCAAACTCGCCGAACGCGGAAAAGATCTTGGCGGGGAGACGCTCGCGCTTCTCCTCCTTGGTAAAGGGCATGACGCCGCGCGCCTTGGTCTTCTTATTCTTCGCTGCGCGGGCAGGAGCGACAGTGACGGCGGAACCGGCGGGACGTTCGTAGACGGCCTTGACTTGTCCCGCAGCGGCGACGGCTGTCGACGACGTAGTGGCTGAAGCGGCGGACGCCGCGGGTGTCGACGAGGTGCTGGCATCCTTGCGGCGGACGTAGACGGCCTTGACGGGCGCGGTCGAAGTCGAGGCGGTGGACGGGTCCGCGGGTTTGCTGCGTGAGGGAGAGACCCGGTCATTCGGCAGGCTCGTAGAACGACAGCGGGGCAAAGACGGCGCAAGAGCACGACCTGGGACGCACGAGAGTGGAGAAGGCTTGTACGAGAGCTTGCCGGCGGCAGGATGAGGCATGCCGCCCTTGAAGGGAACGGGCGTCCCGCCAGACAAGTCGACAGGCGAAGGTGCAGCCTTCTTCCGCTCGTAGCTCGCCTTGCCGACATAGGACGCCTTGCCCGTCTCGGATGCCGGACCTGAAGCAGCCGAAGGTGCAGCAGACGAGGCTCGCGAGGAGATGGGAATCGAGATGGCACCTGCAGCGCGGCGAGAGGGGTCCGCGAGCAGGTCCGCAGGGAGATCGGCGAAGCTCATGTCCATGTCCATCGAGGCGTCTGCGGCATGACCGTACGGCGCCGAGGCAGCACGGTCGTAAGAAGCGCGGCTCGCGAGAGACGCAGCGCCGGCGAAAGCATGAAACGGCGGGTAGGCAGGAGCGGTCGAGGAAGCAGCGTCGTCGTCAGAGACTACTTCGCCCTCCTCAATGTCGTCATCATCTTCCTCGGCGAAAGGCCGCTTTTGCGGCAGAATCAGCAAGCTCAGGTCAGCCGAAGGCGAAGGCGGAGCAGCCGTGTCTCGCGCAGGTACTGGTCGAGCTGGGGTAGAGGTCGAGGCGAACGAGTTAGCCGACGGTGGGAGCGCTTGATCCGAGACTTGAGGCGGGACAGAGGCGAGTCGGGTGGGAGAAAGGGTGAGGTCGTGGACGTGCGAGGGGTCGACAGAGACGGCTCGAGAAGTGACCCGCGAGACGTCGCTCATCCCGTCGTCGCCTGCGACCGTCGAGGCGTGACCGACCGAGTCGAGCCGTCGCCTCTTTCGTCGCGCATTCGCCGCGACATGCTCAAGCGAGTCGTCGACGCCCTCGCCGTCTTCGTCCTCGTCTTCGTGCTCGTCCGCCTCGTCCGCCGAGCCAAGGTCGAACGGCAACGTCTCATCCTGGCCGTGATCGTCGTCCTCGTCCACCTGCTCCTGGACCGCCTCCTCGAGATCCGAGACGGCGTTGTCGTCCTCCGCGGCCGCATCCTCCTTTTCAGACTCCGAGTCACTCGTCGAGTCCGAGTCGGAATCGGAGCCGTCTTCTGCGGCCGCTTCTTCGACGCCAGCCTCCTTCGCCTGTTCCTCTTCTTCGACCGGCCTACTCCTTGGGCGCTCACCGACGAGCGCACCCGCAACCTCGTCGTCGTCGTCGCTGTCCGACTCGTCCGAATCGCTTGAGCTGGAGCTGGAGCTGGAGGACGAGTCGTCAGACGAATCCGAATCGGAAGACGACACCGTCGCTTTCGCCGATATGGGGTCGGTCATTGTCGGCGCGTCCGCCACAAGCTGCGAAGAGACGACGGACTGGGCGACGTCGGGCGAAGGTGTAGGCGCGGCAGGCGCGATCGAGGGTTTTGGGGGATTGTTTGCAGGGGCGACGGTCGCGGGAGTCGCGTTAGCTGCGAGCGGCGCGGGCGCTGGTGGAGGAGGTGGAGCGGGTCTTGACGCAGCGGCGGATGCGGGAACGGTCGAGGGCATGGCCGGAGCGGATAGATGCTGGAAAGGAGCGGGGGCGGCAGGAGGAACCGAAGGCGGGCGGGAAGATTGGGCGGACGAGGTCGAAGGTCGTGATGAAGGAGGGTAGGCGGAAGACGGTGCGCAGGTAAGGTAGGAGGGAGCGTGTGAAGGAGGGGGAGTTGGTCGAGAGGGGCCGGAGTCGACGGGAGGGACCGAGGGCGTTCGACTGTACGCTTGTCGCTCGTACACGGCGGGTTGTGGAGGAGCTGCGACGTATAATCGTCAGTCATCTCTCTCGGGATGGCAGAAGTTACGAAAGCGAGCTGACGCCAAGCAGCCGCTGGAGGAGCACCCGGCGGCGCAGGGACGAAGGCCGGTCCTGGTCCTCGTGCTGGATACGCCGCGGGGCCGGATTGCGTACCAGCATAGCTCGGATAGCTTGCGGGAGGAGGAGGCGGAGTTGGGCGATGGAAGAGGGCAGGCGGAGGCTGATGAACAACGGGCGGCCCAGCGGGAATAGCGTAGGTCGCGCCGAGCTGTGCAGTTGCCACTGGGTATCCCGAGTACGAGACTGGCTGCACGGGCGGCGGTGGTGGCGCCGTCGAGTGGGAAGCGATGTAAGATGCGGACGGGGCGAAGCGTGAAGCCCCGGGAGGACGCGCGACGGGCGGAGGAGCTTGCGCCGTTCCTCCTCGAGAGCTCCGTCCCCTCTCACCGCGCTTTGGCGGCATCCTGAGCGAGTGGATGCGGGTGGACGAGCGAGACCCGCGAACGACCTCCTCCTGGACGTGGACAACACCGCTGACCACGCCGGGAGTCTTGTGCTGCTCGCTGAGCGCTTTGCCGTCACTCTCGTCGACCCGCTGATTAGATACAGCCGCTCCAGAGGCGGTGTGCTCGCTGTCTTCGACTCCCAAAGTTGAGGGGGCCTGTTGAGGGACCTGTACGGCTAGAACGAGGCTCGTAGGACAAGCAGGTGCGTCCAGTCCCTTCGATCAGCTCTCTCGTGCCGCTGACCGGTCCTCGGCGCCATCAGAGTCGAGTTGTCCACCCTCACGCGTTCCTCTCTCGACAATGTCCGCCAACTTCTACCTCTCATCCCACGCGAACCACCATCTCCACCCTCGGTATGCGCTTCTTACCGCTCGGCTCGACGACTTGCGACACGCGAACGAGCAGGAACTCGCGTGGATCGAGATATGGAGTGCGAGCGGTGCGTTGCGCCGTTCCTCCAGCTTCCTCCTCGCCCTCGAAGCAATCACTGAGGACATATAGCTGCACACAGCCATGCAAAAGATTTGTAAGCGCCTGAACCTCCGCCAGCAAGTGGTCGCGACAGCGGTCGTCTACTTCCGGCGTTTCTACCTCCGCAACTCGTACTGCGAGACCGACCCGGCACTTGTCGCTGCTGCGTGCTGCTACGTCGCTGCGAAAGCGGAGGAGACGCCGGTGCATGTGAAGAGTGCGGTGGGCGAAGCGAAGGTCGTTTTCAACGGTGCGCTCCCTCACGCTCTTTCCTGCCGTCCATCCGTCTCACTCGCCGGTTCTCGCGCGCAGACATGGGTCTCGTCTCTTTTACGTCGGATCACCACCGCCTCGCCGAGATGGAGTTCTATCTCCTCGAAGAACTCGACTTTCACCTGATCATCTTCCACCCTTACCGCGCTTTGATCCAGCTGTGCGGGAGGGACGGCGGTGCGAATGCGGGTGGAGAGGAGGGCAGGCTGAACAAGGACAAGATGCTTGAGATGGATGACACGACGCTGCAGATGGCTTGGTGCGTCTCGGTCCGCTCCTACTTTCTCGACTCGTCGACCTGACGACATGCCGGGATGTTTTCGGTGCGCCACTGTCACACAGGTTCATCCTGAACGACACCTTCCGCTCGTCGCTCTGCCTTGTCCACCCACCGCACCTCATCGCCATCGCAGCGATCTACCTCGCGTTCGCACTCCAGCCTCCCGCCTCGGCCGCCGCGCAGATCCTTCCTCCTTCTGCGTCTGCGTCCGCAGGTCGCGCATCGAACGGCTCTGCGGACGCTCCTCGACCGGGCGGAGGACCCGCCACACGCACCCGCCGCCAATCGCAAGACGCATCGAACAACCCTTCCGCCCTCACCACCACCTCCTCATCCTCCAGCACGAAGTCCTCGCCTTCTGCCCCAGATCCAATCACTTTCCTCGCCTCCCTCGCGATCGACCAGTCGCTCGTCCTCGAGATCGTCCAAGAAATCGTCTCGCTGTACGAGTTATGGGCCCAACTCGAGTCCGGTTCCAGCAATAGCTCCGGCTCAAGCGGTTCCAATCGCGGTAGCTCAAGCTCTTCTACGCGCGGACAAAGCGGCGGAACTAGCTCGAGTCCGGATGAGAAAGTTGTTGCGATCTTGAGGAGGATGCAGGAGGGCAGGATGAGGGAGCTGAGAGACGAGAGGGGGAAACAGGTGCAGGCTCAGCAGGCGCAGGCGGCGGTTGCTGGGAGGAGGGGTGGTTGAGCGTGGGCGAAAGAGGGAGAGGATGGGCAGGTGAGGCATGAGGATGGCGAGGTGCGTTCAGTTTCTCCCTACAGCCTTGTTCTGAGCTTGGCGTACTCGCCGTTCTCTTGTGCAGGCGTAAGATGTGCTTCCTTTACGCCAGCGAGATCAGCCTGAAGGCGACCATGTCAACCGTCCGCCAATTTCCTCCTCCTCGACCCGCCAACATCCCTCCGTTCCGTCGCTTCGATGCCCTCCCGCCGACTCGCGGTTCCGCTGGTCAGCCGTCAAAAGGTCGACGACTTCGCTCGGCCCGCAACTCACGACTTCGAGCGCAAACGGATCGAGGACGAGGGCATCCTCGGACGGAAGAAGCGACTCCGCAACGACGACTTTCGCTCGGCTGGCTCGTCCTTCTCGGCCGCGTCTCCGCATCGAGTGAACGAGGCAGTGCACAAGGCGTGCTCCTCGTGCGGAGACTCAGCTGAGGTTGCGCAAGCCGAGGAGAGCCGGGCCTCACGTGCGGTGTGCTCGGGATGGGGACTTGGCGGGATCAGGTGGACGGATGGCGAGCGAGTGGAATGCAACGCACAGTTACACACACACACGCTCTTTCTCTTCTACTTTACACTTTACAAGAGCTCCGACGACGAGAGCGACTGCTGTTCTTCGCCTGCTTGTGCCCAAGATGCCTTCTGTCTCTCCCTCGCACTACACCATGGACAACGCACCCTTGATCGGTAAGAACGCGCTCAACGAGTAGAGTGATCCAGCGCACTGACTGGCTCGTTGCCCGCTCGTCTTCCCGCGCTGTCGTGATCCCGCTCCATCCTCGTCCCCACCCTCGAACTCGCTCTCCTCGCCGCGCCCTCCCTGGACCCGCCCGAGCACAGGTGCGTTCATCTGAGACTTCTACGAGTACTGCGGGCCCGCTGACCCTCGCTGTCCCGTTCTCCCGTTCTCGCCAACTCGATTCCGTCTCCTCCTCGTTCTTGGCCGACTTCGGCTTCCTCCAAACTCGCCAAATTGGACGTGGCACTACACAGGAGTCATTGGCGGATCCGGCTTGTACAAGCTCGACAACCTCGAGATCGTCAAGACCGTCAACCCCGTCACCGTGCGTCCCCCCTTGAGCGAGAGTCACTCAGAGACCAATTCCGCTCACTGAAACACCTGCGCACAGCCCTGGGGCCCTCCCTCATCGCCCATCACGATTGCCTCGCTCTCTACGCCCGAAGGACCCGTCACGCTCGCCTTCCTCGCCCGCCATGGCCCTCACCACAACATCCCGCCCTCGAACGTCCCCTCGCGCGCCAACATTGCCGCCCTGAAGCGCATCGGCGTCAAGGCTATCGTGGCGTTCTCCGCCGTCGGAAGCCTCAGGGAGGAGATCCGCCCCGGAGACATCATCGTCCCCGACCAGATCATCGACCGCACCAAGGTGGGTCGGGCGTGGACTCCAGTGAGATTGACAGAGCTGACATCGAATGATGCAGGGCGTCCGCCCCTCGACCTACTTTGACCGGACGATGGTCGGCCACGCCATGTTTGGCGAGCCGTTCGACGTCCAGCTTCGCGAGGTGCGCTCCCTCCCCTCGTATCCCTCGACGCCCGTACTCACATACCCACCGCGCAGTTCATTGTCCCTCACGTCAAAGAAGCGATCAACACCTTCAAGGGCCACATCAACCCGTCTGACGAGCCTCGCCTGCACACGAAGAAGACGGTGGTCGTCATGGAGGGACCGCAGTTCTCGACCCGCGCAGAGAGCAACATGTACCGTCTCTGGGGCGGTGACATTATCAACATGAGCGCTTTGCCCGAGGCCAAGCTTGCGCGCGAAGCCGAGCTCTCGTACGTTGCGCGTCTTCGTCTTTGCGAGTCCTGGCTAACGAGGACTGCCCCGCAGCTACGCCCTCGTGGCCACGAGCACCGACTACGACGCGTGGCGCGTCGACGCTGCGCCGGTCACGGTCGAGGAGGTGATGAAGACGCTCCGCACGAACGCCGAGCTGTCGAAGCACATCACGGCCTCGATCCTCGGCGCCGTCCACACGGCCGTCAAGTCGGGCCAGATCCAAGGCCAGACAGGCCAGATGCAGTACTCGCTCATGACGCCTCACAAGGAAGTCGGTGCGGAGGAACTTCACCGCCTGACGTACCTCCTGCCCAACTACTTCAACTACCCCGATCCGGCCGCCGAGCGCCGCTCGCGCTCGCGCGCACGCATCGATGTCGACATGGACGACTACACCGGCGGCGAGGAGCCCGCCCCTCGTGGCCGCCAGTAGACTTTAGACCTTCCCGAGCGAAGTCTTTATCATGGCATCTTCCCCCCTCGCGTTTCCCGTCCGCCTGTAGCTCTCTCTTGACACTTAAAATCGAAGGTCGTGACTCTGCCATCCGTTCGTGGCCTGGAGAGCGAGCGAAGGGCTTCACTGCGGTGCACCACCACCCTCTTCCGCTTGCACTCGACTTCGCTCCTTTCACAACCATGCTAGGGCTCTTGCAAGGCTTGATATGTGTCTCTCTGGCTCACTCCGCTGTCTCGGTGCCCGCGCAACCCGCCCAGCTAGCGTGGTTACCGCCTTCGCATCCTCATCAGCGTCCGGCGCCGAGGGGAGAGTACAGGATGGAACCGGTGCGTACGGGCTCGCCACACTCTGCACATCATCCAGCTTACTTGTCAAAGCGCGGCGCAGGGCTATAGTCCGTACCCGGGCGGCAAGGACGCGCCAGAACTGCGAATGCCCTCTGGATTCTCGCGCAACATCCCCGAAGTGCGCACTCCCATCCTGCCCCATCCTTCTGTCTTCGTTGACGAGGTGGGAACTCACAGCGACGCATTCACTCCCACAACGACTACTGGCGGGACGTGCCGGTCTATACCGCCCTCTCGCACGGCGCACTCTCGATCGAAGCGGACGTCTGGCTCAACCCGAAGGACGACAAGCTCTACGTGCGTGCTCCGCTCGCTCCTAGAGATGCTCATGTTGATGCATTGGTGCGCAGGTCTCGCACAACGTCGCATCTCTCACTCGAGCCCGCACCTTCTCCCGCCTCTACATCGACCAGCTCGTCGACGTCCTGTCTCGCGCGAACGTGCATGACGAAGAGACGGCTTTCTTCGACAAGACGGACTATTGGACGATGGCGAACGAGCGGGAGGAACGGAGGCTGTGGACGAGGTGAGCCAGCGATTGCGACGTGCGGTGCCTCCTGGGTTGACGGGTCTACTCGCAGCTTCTACGAAGGCAATCTGACGCCTATCCAGCTGCTAGTCGACCTAGTGCGCTACTCCTCTGTACCTGCGGCAGACCGATGCTGACCAGCGGCTTCGCGCAGAAAACCCGCGGCAACGAAACTTACCATACCGTCTTGCGCGAACTCGAGCCCCTACGCTCGCGTAGCTGGCTGACGAGGTGGAACGGGACGCATATTGAGCCAGGCGAGCCTCGTTGCTCGCTCCCTCTCGCCGAATCCTTCTGACCCTTATTTTTGAGCAGGGCCCGTCCTCGTCCTCCTCACTGGCAACGGCATCAATCTCGACGTCCGCTCGCAAGTCGCGCCACAAATGTCGCGAGACGTCTTCCTAGACGCTCGTGCGTCCCGTCGTTCTGGTCTGCCCGCAGCGTTCCCGCTGACGAAAGACCGTGGCAGCTCTTCTCCGACTAGACGAGACTTGGCAAGGTATGGACGGTGGGCACTATGGCTGGAACTCGACGCTCGCGCCAATGGCGTTCGTCTTGCCCTTTCTTCGTCGTACGGAAGACTCGCTAACTCTCGCCTCGCAGGTCCGCGTCGTTCGCCTCCGCTACTTCCTGGGACGGCCGGAAGGCTATCTCCGCAGCGCAAGAAACGACTCTATCGCAACTACTGCGGACAGCGCAGGGCCGTAGGCAGGTTCTCCTCGCTCGGACTCTCCCTCACTGACACCCTCGCTGCGCAGGCGGCTTCAAGACCCGTCTCTGGTCGACCCCGCGCTGGCCAACGCATGTGCGGGACCGAGTCTGGCGGACACTGTACGACCTGTGCGTCGACGTTTCTCGCTTTGCAAAGTCTCGCCTGGGAGCTGACATCCTCTCCGGGCTCGCAGCGGGACAGACTGGCTAGATGCAGACGATATCGAGGCGGCTGCGGCTTTCTAGATCCGTGTAGACCGCGCAATGTATCTTATCAGAGCTTCAGCCGCTACAGTGAGGGCCAAAGACACGCGCGAAGCTCTTCTCACAAGGAGACGCAGAAACGGACGAATCAACTCGCTGCAGTCCGCAAACACATGATCTACAGCTTCCTCGGATCCTCGACGCTCGCCTACTGCTTGCTCGGGTCGAGCCCCACGCTACCTTGCATCTTCGTCTCGAGTCCTTGAACCGTCTCGATCGAGAGGAGGGCGTGCGAGCCGATCACCACTGTCGGGATGAGGACGAGGAGAGAGATCAGGATGGCTGAGGAGGAAGAAAAGGGCGTCAGCTCGGAGCTCGAAGAGACAGCAGGATGCGGAACGCACCGAAGAGGATGCCAGGCGAAAAGAGCGTGTATCGGTGGAAGATGCCGCTCTTCGGGTCGGGCTGGAATATGCTCGTCCCGTTGCCGTTGCCGTCGCCGTCATCCTCGTCGTCCTGGAGAGGGGAGACGTCGAGGACGCTTCCCTCCCACTCGCCGACGGTGTAAGGATCGACGGCATGCGCGTACTCCTCCTCCGTCGGCTCGACGACGTCCGTCACGCCAATCTCGGGCTTGTCGGCGTAGTCGGGCGAAGTCGCCGATTCGGCGGCAGCGGGCGAGTCCTGCCCGTTGACATCCTCGAGTTCCTGCATCGTCTCGACCATCTTCTCGAGCGTGTCGCCCTGCAGCTGGTCCTCCTCTGCAATCTCCTCGAGCAGTTCCTCAACGATGGCATCGTCGCTCGCGCCTGCACCGGGTGCTTGCCGCTTGTTGAGAGAGTGCGAGGCGGCGTGCTGCGTGTTGCACGGGCGGACGGGAAGAGAGGTCGGCAAGGAGGTGAGGATGACGGCGTAGGGTGTCGATGCGGACCGGATCAGGCCACCGACGAGCTTGTCTGCGTGGCAGATCTAGGTCAGTCGCGGATGGCATCCGGGGAAGAGGAGACTCCGAACGCACCAACCCGGGCCAATGTCCCCTTCGTCTTCTCCACCTCCTCCTTCTCATCCGCAAACTCGCCCACCAGCCCATCCACCTTGATGAACTTGACCACCTTGTCCTTCCCGCACTCCTTCCGGAACCTCCGCACAAACTGCTCCGCCGGTGGTCGCGCAAGCTTCTCGCTCACGTAAGGGAAAGTGAGAGCGTTACCGGCTACTCGTGCAGAGGCGAGGGAGGATTTGATGCCTGAGGGCGAGTCGGAGATGGAGGGGAGGAGGGAGAGGTCCGAGTTGTGCAGGCCGGGGACCGATACGACAAAGAGGGAAGAGAGGTCGCACAGGTCGTCCACATCGGCAGAGAAGGCACGCTGGGCGGACTGGGCGGAGCGGGCGGAGCGGGAGGAGCGGGAGGAGGAAGACTGGGCGGGGTCTAGTTGGGCGAGCGAGGTGAGTCTGCGCGAGGGGATTGAGTGTCAGAATGGCTGTTCCCACGGGGCACTGCCATTACACAACAGCGTCTCAGCCCGCGCGTTGAGCCCACAGAGGCCTGTCTGACGCGTGAGACCCTCCTCGTCCTCATCAATGCACGACCCTCGAGGTCGATGGCAGCACCCCGTACAGACTCGCTGAGCCGCTGCCGCCACCCTATCACACATCCCACGCTGCCATGGGAACCGCTGTCCACCCCATCAAGCCCGCACGGCGCTTCGCAAGCGATGATGACGGGACGGCGGGGGAAGGGGTCGAGAGGCGCGACTGACCTGCTCGAGCTCCAGGCGACGATCGGATAAGTGCCAGAGAACGCATTGGCAGCTGATGCCGCAGCCAGCAAGGCAGCGAGAGCGGTTGAGGCATGCATGGCGTCCTTTTGGAGGGAGAGAGGGAAGGCGACGAGGAGGGACGACTCTCGCTCGCAAAGAGCTTCGTAGGCAGTGCGCGAGGGGTATTTTCGGTCACATGCGATGCTAGACAGGCAGATACACGAGGAGCTATGCGAAAAGAAAGCGGATGTGGACAACGAAGCGACACTTCCACCGTCCAACCTTTGCAACACACGGCTTCGACAACACTGCCCCTTCACAGATCATGCGAGAACGCACATCGGCTTCCCCAGTCGCACCCGTTGCGCGTCCGGAAGAACTTGCACTGGACGTCCTTCTTCGATCCAGCCGACAACAG